GTGGAGCCTGAGCATCATTCCATAATGACTAGTTTTCATAATACGCGGCTTAAAAATCGTGCATGGTATACCTGTTAGGTCTTGCTGCTTCAGAAAGGTCAGAAGGAAGCCTTGGTAGCGTGCCGGCATTAAAGAGTGCTGGTCAAGTGACAAAAGATGGAATTATTGGCACTGCGAATGCGCCTATTCACATGGTTACAGCAGAAACAGGTCAATTTAAGGATCAGCTTTGGCGCACATTCCGAAGCATTGCACTGACTTTCCTTTTAATTTCGGGCATCGGGGCTCTCATTGAGGATAGAGGAATCAGCAAAGGTTTGGTTTTCTCAACGATCTGAAAGACTAATCTCCTAATTCCAAATTGGACTTCATCCCAGTAATAAATTTGATAAAATCCTTGTAGGCCTTGGTCTAAACGAAGAGGTTCAACCAAGCATGGAATCTAGTACGAAATTTAGTGATGTAAAAGGTGTTGATGAAGCCAAAGCTGAACTCGAGGAAATAGTTCACTATCTTCGAGATCCAAAGGTAAACCCTTTATTATCTTTTCCATTGACAATTGAATAGGTTTAATTCCCGGTGCTAAGGATTAACTTTTGCCTAGTCATATTGTGAACTGCTTCACATTACATTCAACTTTTGAAGTGAATTATTTTATTTTTTGTTCTGTAACTCATTTGATCTATGAATAGCTTGCTTAATTCAACACCGTTGTTTGATTTTGCCAGCAGAGGTCTTGTTGTCTTCTTAGTGTTGTGCTTTATTTCTGTCCAATTTGTTTGTTCTCAGCTGAATTGCTTTCTCAATGCTAAGTTATGTAGTTCACATTTTGTGGTGTAGAAATCAGTTGTTAGCCACTGTTTTTGTGTATCCTTGCTATATCCAGTCCTCCATTGTTGGCATTATATCTGCTTAATTTGATATTCATAACCGGCCTGTATGTTTTGCAGCGTTTTACACGTCTTGGGGGAAAACTGCCAAAAGGTGTTCTGCTTGTTGGTCCTCCAGGCACTGGCAAAACCATGTTAGCGAGGGCTATTGCTGGGGAAGCCAGCGTCCCTTTTTTCTCGTGCAGCGGTAGTGAGTTTGAGGAGATGTTTGTAGGCGTGGGAGCTAGAAGAGTGAGGGATCTTTTTGCTGCAGCAAAAAAACGATCGCCTTGTATCATATTCATTGATGAAATTGATGCAATTGGTGGGAGTAGAAATCCAAAGGATCAGCAGTATATGAAGATGACCTTGAATCAGTTGCTTGTTGAGCTGGATGGCTTTAAGCAGAATGAGGGGATAATTGTCATTGCTGCAACTAACTTCCCAGAGTCATTAGATAAAGCACTAGTCAGACCTGGGCGTTTTGACCGTCATATTGTTGTTCCCAATCCAGATGTTGAGGGCAGACGTCAGATCTTAGAGGTCCACATGTCAAAGGTAATTTTGGGAATTTTTGTTGGCATGCTATCAATATTAAAATGTGATCTCATATCCCTCTGCACATAATTGCAGGTCTTAAAGGGTGATGATGTGGATTTGATGATCATTGCTAGGGGAACACCAGGATTTTCAGGTGCTGACCTTGCTAACTTGGTGAATGTGGCTGCTCTTAGAGCTGCCATGGATGGCGCAAAATCCGTTAGCATGAATGATCTGGAGTATGCCAAGGACCGGATCATGATGGGTAGTGAGCGCAAGTCAGCAGTTATCTCTGATGAGTGCAGGAAGCTGACAGCATACCATGAAGGAGGGCATGCCCTTGTTGCCATGCACACGGATGGTGCACATCCTGTCCACAAAGCTACCATCGTGCCCAGGGGGATGGCCCTTGGGATGGTGGCTCAGCTCCCTGACAAAGATGAGACTAGCGTGTCAAGGAAACAGATGCTAGCAAGATTGGATGTGTGCATGGGAGGACGGGTGGCAGAGGAGCTTATATTTGGGGATAGCGAGGTGACATCCGGTGCTTCATCCGACTTTGAGCAAGCGACTTTGATGGCAAGAGCAATGGTTACTCAGTATGGTATGAGCAAGCAGGTGGGTCTTGTTTCATACAACTATGAAGAGGACGGAAAGACTATGAGCTCAGAAACGAGGCTTCTAATTGAGGAGGAGGTGAAGAATTTCTTGGAGAAAGCATACAACAATGCAAAGGCTATCCTCACCAAACACAACAAGGAGCTCCATGCTCTAGCCAATGCACTTCTTGAGCATGAGACCATGAGCGGAACCCAAATAAAGAACTTGTTGGCCCAAGTAGATAACAAACAGCCGCAGGGGCATGCTGTTGAAGCCCCACAGAAGACGCCAGCTTCACCCCCATCTCCAGCCGCCGCGGCGGCTGCTGCTGCTGCGGCGGCGGCACAACAAGCGGCAGCGCAGGCCAAGGGAGTTGTCGGTATCGGGTCTTAGCATCCACAGGTTTGCATTCACCAAATTAGCAGGTTGTTCTGCCAAACCGTCAGCTGATGAGTATCCCCCAGGAAGAATATGCTACACTGCTGCATCAAACACGAGGACACATCGATGTTGCTTGGGGTGTGGATAGAGAAAGAAACACATGGAGGAAAATTCACACATAGTAGCAGGCACATGTAGCTAGTGTTTGAAGTGACTTCTCTAGTTGTGCTGTTGACAACTTCACATCTGAATAATTGTTATCGTTAAAATCTGCCTTGTATTTGTGCGATGCACGTGTTTGGTCATGAAAGTTGCCAATAATAATATTTTGCTCATCAGCCGCAACGCTGAGATTGAGATCCCATGCATACACACGTTATGAAGGAAGGCCTTGTGAGCAGCTAAAATGGCCAAAGTTTCAGATCAAATCTACCATGTCTTGGAACTCTTGCATGCACGACCGCGGCAGGCCAAGAAGCACCACGATGCTGCCCTCACGCACGTCCCGCATAAACATGACCACCTCCCCGCGCGGCAGCTCCGCGGGGCCAGACTGTGCGGCCTCGCCTCACCCGAAATCGGCCGCGTGGAACCCAAGACGGTTCCACGCCGTCACCAGCGTCGTCGCCGTCATCGACGGCGCCCGGCCACCGGCCACTTGCACGTAGTCGATGGCCGAACGGACGAACGCGTCGTCCGTGCGCCTGATGGCGTCCTGGATCCACCGGGCCGCAGCGGACACCGGCCCGCCGAGGAGGTCGCCGGCAGTGGACACGCAGCAGGCGAAGACGACGCGTTCCCGCAGAAACCGCGAGGCAGCGGCGGGTCGACGCGCCGCCTGCCGTCGACGGCGAACATGAGCTTGCTCTTCTGCTCGGGGCGCATCCTCATGGCGCGCAACGTCGCGCGCCAGACGAACGCCGTCAGCGCCACGAAGGTGGAGCTCGCGCACGCCTGCCGCTTCAGCCGCGCGAGCCCGTCGGCGTCGATGGCGAAGGCCCGGTGCACCCGCGGTTCCTCGCGGAGGCAGGCGAGGCTGGACACGTCCTCCATCTCTGCGAACTCCTCGTGCGGGAAGGCGACCGTGGGGCTCGTCCTGGCGCGCAGCACGGTGCGGTCGAGGAAGGGCGGGGAGGAGAGGGGCCCGCCGCGGGCCATCTCGCCCCAGGAGCGGAGGAACTCCGCCGCGGCGACGCCGTCCGCCAGGCAATGGTTCATGGCGAGCCCGAGCACGAAGCCGCCACACCTGAACCTGGTGACCTGCACGCTCAGTAGAGGCGCCCTCAGCTCGTCATCTTCCTTGTCCTCGGAGTTGCTGCTGCTGCGGCCGACGAACACGAGCTGCCCCTGAACCGCGGCGGCGTTGGGTGCCGACAGTACGACGTCCCCGACCTCCTTGAGCTCGCAGTCGGCGTCCGCAACGACGAAAGGCACGCCACGGCGGTCGTTCCGGACCGAGAGCCTCCCGTCGTCGGTGCTGACCACCAGGCTCCCCTGGAACGGATAGTAGTGCACGAGCACCCTGCCCAGGGCGTCCGTGATCACGGCGGCCGCGTCGACGCGGGCGCGGGACGGGCTGAAGACGTGCACGGTTTTCATGAGCACTGCCACATTCTGGTCGAGGTTGGAGAGGAAGTAGTACTCGTCGGCGGCAGGAACGTCACCGGCAGCGTGCACGAGCACCGGCTCAGCCCTCGTCACCCTCATTCTCCGTGTTCCGCACCCGCACCCGCACCTACGTTCTTTGTGCCTACCATGAAACTCATGTTATATACTCCTCCCTCCGATCACTGTTATAAGATGTTCTGAATATTTTATTAATATGAATTACTCTTTCTAAATACAAGTCTTTTTTAGATATTTCAATATGAACTACATACAGAGCAAAATGAATGAACCTACACTCTAAGCTATGCCTATATATATCCGTATGTAGTCATATTGGAGAATATCTAAAGACCCACAAAAAAATATATTGGAATATCTAAAAAGATTTATATTTAGCAACGGAGGGAGTACACAAAGACTGAAGCGAGTGAA